TGCTTATAGATGTCCAGTGATGTCACTGCTGTATTGTCTATAAACCAGTTGACCAAACTACCTCTTCCATGCCATCAGAATCGGTTTTGGCTCCTTTTCATCGACTCATCAACAATCTTCTTTATGGGCTACATATATCACTCACCTCAAATAAAATGGCTTGTAGTTCGGCATGCCCTCAATGGACTAACACGCGACCAAATCGAAGAAGAAATTGGCATTGATGTTTCTAGCGACTCAATTCGGCGCTGGGTTTCTCTTTTTCACACCACTGGAGCAGTCATATCTGATCCAGCATTCAATCTCACTCCTGGCTGCGATACAAAGCTTACAGAAGCTGGCCGCTGTTGTGCAATCCAATTATTAGAGGTCGATCCAACATTAATTCTTGATGAGATTGCTCGAGGCATCAAACAACAAACCGGTATTGAAATCTCAAAGTCAGTGCTTGCAATCGACCTCCGTGATCGGCTTGACTTGACTCGCAAAGTTGCTTGCACTGTCCATCCAAATCGATCAGATGAGATTCATGCTCAGTTCATTTACAATATGGGCAAAATCTCAGCTGAGTGCTTAATTTTTACTGGTAAGCCAATCTCTTCTTTATTTTGCCTTGGTAGGTTCATGTACAAGAATTTCTAATTGTCTTGATTGAGTTGTAGATGAGAGCTCGATCAGCAAGAGACGATTGTATCGCCAAGATGCAAGAGCACCTCGTGGTGAACGCACAGCTCGGCTCCCAAGACAGACTGCATCAAGACAATACAGCCTACTTCCAGCGATCTCGCTTGGTGGCTTGGTTGGTTTGAAAGTGAAAGAAGGATCGATCAAGAGGGGTGATTTTGAATCTTTCCTCTCTGATCATGTGGTAAGTACCAATTCAATATCATCATAATAATATTGTGGTTTGGTTTGATTGATGCTGATCATCTCTTGTGTCTTTTGCACTAGCTTCCAATGACAAACCCCTTTCCTGGACCAAACTCGGTGATTGTTCTTGATAATGCCAGTGTTCACCACAATGGTGAAATCCGAGCGATGTGTAGTGAGTATGGTGTGTTTGTGGTTCACTTACCACCATACTCTCCCAATTACAATCCAATTGAGAAGGGCTTTGATCTCGCAAAAAGTCACCTTCGTCGATCAGGAGTCCTGCTAGACAACTTAACTCCTGAAGAAGAGATGGAGGCAATATATATCACAGCAGAGGAAGTATTCACACCAGAGATGATAAATGGTCTTTATGAGGGATCGGTCTGGCTCTAAAGGTCAGCATCTTTCTCTACTGTTCCACTGCTCCAATTTCAAAGTCTTCAGTTCCTGATTCTTGTCCGCTTCTTCATACGAGTCTTATCACCTTAGAATTGATTTCACCTTATAATACAAACTATTTACCATCTATGCTTTACTTTGAGTTGGATTCACATCTGATTCATTAAACAAACCATGTGAAATAGAGAAATCTTTGACAAATATACTATTTTGATGTTGTTTGATCCAATATATGCTTCATCTCAATCAAAACAAGTGTTTTTCTCATAGACAACAAGTTGAACAACACAATTTGACACTCAATTCAGTGACTATGAGTGAGGACATACATGTCAAGTTTAAGAAAACAAAAGGCCCATATAATGAAGTCAAGATTTCCTAGTGTTGTTTGGAATTTTACAAAAATTGGTATTCTGATTTGCATACATGATTCAGAAGTTTTCCACCCCAGCTTCAACAGAAATTACTGAGACAAACAAAAGAAGGAAATGATATTTGTTACATTTTGATATCGATGACCTCTTGCCTAAATATAATTGTGAAAGTTAGCTTCAGCTGTACAAATAAATCATATAAATAACTGAGAGTATAAGAATTTTACGATTGCAACAGTGTTCAGAGTTACTCATTCCCCAATTGGAATAAAGCCCCCTGCTTTGATACTTTGACGTTGTGGAAATCAAATTAAACAAGATAATTATTTGATATACATGAGCCAACAAGTTCCCTTTGCTTATTTGAAGCTACCAGTTCAATAATTCAATATGATTATTATTCTTTATTCATCTTACTGCATTACATTATGACAGTCTATCTACATTCAAAGGAAAAAAGAGGAAGAAATTACCATATATATATTCATACAAATACCACAAATAGGCACTAAATTCAATATGAGATTCATCCTCTCACTATGGCATAATCAGTCTCAATCAGATTATCATTATGTTCATTTCATTCTTCTATATTATTTCATCACAACTTTGAAGATACAGTTGGCAATATACATATAAATGAATGATACAAGGAGTCTAACAAGAGAACAACACAATTTCCATTACATACCTAAATCAAAGACTGGAATCGAAATTGAAAGGATAGGTTGGTTTTAGGGTACAAACCTACAATGAACAAAACAAAAGGGGCTGAGATCGAAATGAGAAACTTAAGAAGACCAAGATGAGCATTTGAAATGTCAGTTTCAGTAGTACAAAAGAATAGGAGGAAGGGAACTTACAAACAAACAAAAGAAAGTAAAAATCGAAAATAACTTAAATACACTGTCCTTGAGAGAAGATGAATCTCAAGTTCAGGGTCTAGAATCGAAATCAACAAGAAGAAAGAAAAGGGAACCAAAGTTAGTGTGTGAATAGAATAAAAGGAAGGAGATATGAAAGAAATACATACCCAGTTTAAAAACCGAAGGATCGAGTCGAATAGGGGCTAAAAGACACAAATAAATCCTTCGATTAGAGGATGAAAAAGGGAAGGAGATAAGGAAGGAAGGAGATAAAAGAATAGATTGATTAGTAAAAGAACAAAGATAGGAGGAAGGTAAAGAGAAACAAACAGACTTACCTGAGAGAAATCGGACGGAAAAGATCGGAATCGGTCGGAGCGAAAGAAACGAAGCGGGGAAAAGTTGAAGAAAGAGCCTTGAGGCTGAGTTGTGGTTTGGTTAGGGAAAGATATAAAAGGAGGAGGTTGTTGGTGTTGAAGGAGGAGGGAGGAGCTCGTCGCATCGTGTGTAGAAGGTCTCGAATCAAATCGAGATTGTGTTGTGTTTTCTTTTAAAGTGTTTAAGTGTTGGTGTTCAATCTGGAATAGTGAAGTCTCGAGATATCTAGTTAGCATAAAAAGTAAAGAGAAAGTGTTTTCTTTTTTGTTAGTTCTTAGTTAAAGGTCAAAGGTTAGAAAAGTGAAGACTTACCTTGAAGGGTTTTCAAGAAGCATTGAAGCGGTAGTTTGTTGTTGAAGTCGAGTGGGTTAAGGGTTCTTGTTCCCTTGATTTTATTTTTAATTTCTTTAATTTGTTAGATCAGAACTTGAGTCAGGGCCAGTCAGGGCCAATAAGGAAGGACTGCACCTGGGTTCAAATCCAGTGCCAGTTGTGTTTTTTTTTAATTTGTTTTTTTATTAAATTTTGTGTGTGGCTCAGTTGTGGGAGGATAATTAGGGTTTGGGAAGTTTGTAAATCTTTGTACGGGGTGAATTAGGTTTACGGGAAACTTGTAACGGCGGGGTTGTGAAAAGTTTGCCTCACGTAATTTTTTTCGTAGAATTTTTCAGGTTGAAGGCAGCCTCTCGGCACCGTAGTTTCATCCGTCCTCCTTGACGGTGATTCTTACCTTCTCCGGCTCAGCCTACGCTACACTGCGTAGGAGTTCTACAACGTATATAAGCTGGAAATCGATTTGCACTGCTGATGAGCTTGATAGCTGCACCAAGAGAAAAGCCCATTCCTTTGAGTGCTGCCTCATTCATAGTATCTGTGGTGATGAATGTGGACCAGTGATCCAACATTAGGCTTGCCAGAAGCTCGCGCGTAACAGTGTCTGTGATTGAAATCTGAGAGAACTTGAGGAAGTCTTTAAACAATCCACAATATCGAGTCAGAAACAATATGTGATCTTGTTCATTCGGAATCACTGGTGTATTTTGTTGAATGTTGTTGATGGCAGGAACAGGTGCACTGGTTGATTGAACTGGATTGAGCTCCACTGGGCTGATAGCTTGAGTTGATGGTCCATATGCTGGGTGTGCTTCATGTAAGGCCCTTATTGCAGATGGTTCGCGTCCTCCTAAGTAGGTTCGGAATGCAGGGGTCTTAGGAGGGATGAATATGGTGACATCGGTTTGTCCAGCACGTTGTGCTTCAGTCTAACAAAGACACAAGCCACATTAACCAGTTGAACAAGATAATTGTCCAGAGTTGAGAAAAACTTGAAATACTTACGAGTTCATCTGCCCACATTCGAAGTTTGATGTTGTTCAATCTGACCCACTTGGTTGAATCCAATGGATCAATATATCTCATACTCTCCGAGCCACTACCTCTCCCACCTTGATATTGCGCCATTAAACAATCTATTGTACCAGAGTGAAGATTAGGGCTATCAAGCGACGGAAGTTCCTTCTTTGGCTTTGGCAACAAGTCCTCTGCTTGGCGACTGGTCAACGCATTCAGCTGATTGATTTGGAGCTGAAGTTCGTCCTTCTCTTTTTCAAGTATTCCAGGATTTGGCATTCTCACTAATATTCCTAACGAGTGATGACGTTTTAAGTTCTTCGCCGCATCAAGAAATTCGTTCCAGCCACTATTGGTATCAATGTCATACGCTTCAGAGATGTTCTTTGGTGTATAATCTAATCCGACCCAGTTGAGATCTCGAAGTGGTTGATGATCAAAGAGATATTTTGCCATCGCAGGAATTCGCTTCTCAATGACTCCTATTGCTTTCCGCTTGACATACTCCGAAGGTTCCGAGGTGATGTCCACCTTAAACGAGCTTTCGGAACAGCGACCACCTGGTGGTCCTCCCACACAATTCCATTCATACTCGGAAACTGGGATCAAGGTGGAA